CCCCAAAACCCCAAAACCCCAAAACCCCAAAACCCCAAAACCCCTATAATTTATTAACCAATTGAATTATCTTCGAGATGAAGGATTTTTGTAATGGACCACCAAGGCATCAAGCATTTCAACTAAAGCCCTATCATTCTCTTCGTATTTAGTCATATCTATTAGGGTATTGATTTCTGGGATAAAAGGACATTTTTGATCCCCAGAATCTTCATCAAAGAATGAAACATTGCATAGCTTAATTTGATCTCTTTGATTATACCTTTGGCTGCCTAATTTAACTTCTAGTTCGACTATTAAGAATTTCCTTGGAGAGATATAATGCTTTGAATAACGCTTATATATGTTCCAAGGTGATTCATAGACCTTGAAGTCTTTATGATCCTTAAGCACAAGTAAGTGAGGTGAATTCTTATCGGAATCATCATTTGAACAATAATTTGATGATTTTTCTTCATCTTTTAAGTACTCAATAAAGTTTTGAGCATCAATATCATCTTGTGAACTATTATAATCACTTTGATAGTTGTCTAAATCAAAGGATGTGCCATCTAGCGATTTCTCTTCCTCTTTATTCTCCTCTGAAATATTTTCGTATTCAAACTCAGAATAACATTCTTTAATAGCCTGAGAATTTGGTAAATCTAGAGGCTTGTCAGAAGAAACTTCACTTATGTATCTAATGTGACAATCCCCTTGTTTCTGTAAAGCATTTGCAGATATTTGCCGATACTCTGAAGAAAGATGAGACTTCTCTTCAGAAACAGGTGATGAAGGAACTAAGCTATCTTTAATTCTCCCTTTAGATTCTTCAAATTTTGGTTCAGAATCTCCAAACATTTGATCATTAAGTTTAGAAAGTTCATATTCATACTTTGCCTTTTCAGCCTCGAGCGAATATATATGTTTCAGTCCAACTTTCTCAAAGATTTCTTTCCTTTCTCAATCACCTATTGAAGAGATTTCTTCTGGTCAAGTAAATTCTTACCTGGCTGTTCTTCATTATTTATAAGACGAGAGGCGGGCATGAGTTAAGCATGAAATCAAGGATACATCTTTGGAGCTTCTGATTATTTTCTCCAAGCAATCTATTAAATTTTTAGAACTAATTGGATCTTTGATGAGCCCGGAAGTTAATTTTGGTAGATTTTTCTGTATCTTTTCAGCTAAATATCAATAAATGTGGGAATCCTTTCCCAATTCAGATATTAATATAGATGGATCGGGACATTCTGAACTTGTATTCTTGTGAGGCCTCTTTTGAGTATCTAAAATACAATTTTTCTAAAATTTTCCTTCTCACCAATATATTACCCCCTCAATATTTCCTCCTCAAATCGATCACCACTCTTTATCCTAAACTCATCTCCCTTCCACCCCAATTTCCTTTCCACCAAACCCTCTCCAAATCCCCAAACCTTTGCCCCATCCCCTTCTCTAAACTCCCCAGTAAAACTCACCATATGGGCCAATTTCCCAATCTGTTGGCTGCACTCTTCATAAATCTGCGCCTAATTCCTTCTCTATTTCTTGTACTGTCATCCTAAATTTTTACCAGAAATTTTAGGAGGCTATTTGGCACAATTAATAAACAACTAAACGCTTCTGGTTGCAACTTCTACCATTTCAAAACTTTCTTTATATCGATGATGGAGTACTGTACAGGTTGGAAAAATAGTAGGAAGAATAAGATGCTAAAGATGATTGAGAGGAGTTAAGGACTGGAGTTAAGAGTTTCAGAGTTAGAGAGGGTAAAGTATGACAGACGGTAAAACCTTTTATATTAAAGTCTTTATAAGATCATGGTTATTATTGGGATTTTTAGGAGAATGAAGATGGGATAAAAATTAAATTCTTTCGATTCCTAATCTAACACAGACAAATAATATTTCCTCCCTACCAACCCTTTACCCTCTTTCCAACATCCCTCCCCTACACCAATACCTTCACTACTTCACCCAAAACCACCTAAACCACCCTCATTTCCCCAAACAAACCTTCACACCTCACAACACCTCTAACCCTCCTCCCCTCCAATCTCCTCATTCCCCCAAACCCCCTCTATCCCTTCAAACTTCCATTCCTTTCTAAATCCCTTACTGATATAGTTCCTTTCCTTCCACCTCTGAATTCCTTTCAAGACATTGACCCATTTTTATTATTCTGCTTTAATCAGTTTTTGGGTTTATGTTTGGGGTTTTGGGGTTTTGGGGTTTTGGGG